TTTTGAGACAGAGTCTTGCTCTGTCACCCAGGCTGGAGTGCAGCAGCGGAATCTTGGCTCACTGCAATCTCTGCCTCCTGGGTTCAAGCTACTCTCCTGCCTCAACCTCCCAAGTAGCTGGGACTACAGGCACGTGCCACTACGCCTGGCTAATTTTTTTTGTACCTTTAGTAGAGACGGGATTTTATAATGTTGGCCACACTGGTCTCTATCTCCTGACCTTGTGATCTGCCTGCCTCGGCCTCCCAAAGAGCTGGGATTACAGGCGTGAGCCACCGCGCCTGGCCGAGGGGAAGTTTTTTTAAATTCTGAGGTTCCGGTCAGAGGTCAGCCCTAGAAAAAGTGGAGGGCTATGACTCAGTCCATGCTCAGGAGTCAGCAGAGCCAAGTGGACTTTCTCCCGGCTGCTCTCACAGACTCCAGGACTGGCCTCTCCTTCTGGGTGGGGCTGACTCATGCCCCAGTCTAGCAATTCCTCCTTGTGGAACAGACTCGGGGGGAAATGTCATAGGAGAGGCCCCCATTCCCAGTAGGACTCTGACAGGAGTACTGACAAACACCCACTCCCACAGGCCCAGCCCTGACAACAACCCCTTCCCAGGAAGGAGGGGGGAAGAGTCTCCACCACTTACCAGGATCAAACCTCACCACCAGGAGACAGAGGATCAAGGCAGCCAGGAGGCTCTTTTTGAAGGGCAGAGAAAAGAAGTGGCTCACCGCAGAGTCCCAAAGCTGGCGAACCAACATCGGTAGTGACAGGAACTTGTGGGAGATAGAGCCTGGCCAGGGAGACAGAGCACAGCTTCAGGGGAGTCACGGGAATCAGCTTCCCTGACCCCACCCTCTGCGCTTGCTTCTAAGAGCTGAGCAGGCTGGGCGCGGTGGCTCACGCCTGTAATCCCAGCACTCTAGGAGGCGAGACCGAGGCGGGCGGATCAGCAGAGGTCAGGAGTTCAAGACCAGCCTAGCTAACATGGTGAAACCCCGTTTCTACTAAAAATTCAAAAAATTAGCCGGGCATGGCCACGTGCGCCTGTAGTCCCAGCTACTTGGGAGGCTGAGGCACAAGAATCACTTGAACCTGGGAGGTGGAGGCTGCAGTAAGCAGTAAGATCGTGCCATTGCACTCCAACTTGGGCAACAAGAGTGAAACTTGTCTCAAAAAAAAAGGCCAGCGTGGTGGCTCACGCCAGTAATCCCAGCACTTTTGGGAAGCCAAGGCGGGTGGGTCACGAGGTCAGATCATGAGCTCAGGAGATCGAGACCATCCTGGCTAACACAGTGAAACCCAGTCTACTAAAAATACAAAAAATTAGCCAGGCGCAGTGGCGGGCACCTGTAGTCCCAGCTACTCGGGAAGCTGAGGCAGGAGAAGCACTTAAACTGGGAGGCAGAGGTTGCAGTGAGCACAGTGAGCCGAGATCGCGCTACTGCACTCCAGCCTGGGCGACACAACGAGACTCCCATCTCAAAAACAAAAACAAAAAAAGCTGAGCACAAGGGTACTAAGTATTGGCTAAAGCCTTCGTACCTTAACTGCAGATACTCTTGCAACTCTCATGAATATAAATTATTTTTCTCATGTTTATTACTTATTTTGACTATATATTATTTACCATATTGAATGAGTCTTTGTAAAAGTTTTTTAAAACCTTTCAGAACGGCTGGGTGTGATGGCTCAGTGCCTGTAATCCCAGCACTTTGGGAGGCTGAGACGGCCAGATCACGAGGTCAGGAAATCGAGACCATCCTGGCTAACACAGTGAAACCCCGTCTCTACTAAAAATACAAAAAATTAGCCGGGGCTGGACACAGTGGCTCATGGCTGTAATTCCAGCACTTTGGGAGGCTGAGGCGGGTGGATCACGAGATCAGGGGATCAAGACCATCCTGGCTAATGTGGTGAAACCCCGTCTCTACTAAAAATACAAAAATTTAGCCAGGCGTGGTGGCGGGTGCCTGTAGTCCCAGCTACTCAGGAGGCTGAGGCAGGAGAATGGCATGAACCCAGGAGGCAAAACGTGCAGTGAGTGGAGATTGCGCCACTGCACTCCAGCCTGGGCGACAGAGCGAGACTCTGTCTCAAAAAAAAAAAAAAAAAAAAAAAAGAGATGGTGACTTTCTGTCCATGAAAGTATTCACAGCTGGACAAGATCATTACTCAAGGAAAAGGGTGGAAAAGATTCAGGGACCAGGGAAAGGGTCTGCAAATTAGTTTCTTATATTCCTTTGGCTATCCCAGCAGATCTCAGCTGCGTCTGTATTGGGGCCAGCATTTAAAGGAGGAAGGACATCCCACCCAGACCAGTATGGTGGATACAAGAGACCTCGTCAGAGGACTCCAGCGGAAAAATGACTTTCAAAAGACAAGTCAGGGTCCCAAGACCCAGCAACACCTTCCCATGTGGAGATTCTCCTTCCACTGCCAACTTCAGAGGGTCTGGGCTTCACTTTGTTAAGCAACTCTATTCTGTGATTCAAGAGTTATTTATACAAAGAACTGCTCCTAAGCTCCCAGGAGTTTCACGATGGACCCTGAGGTACAGTGCAAGGCCACAAGTCCACTTTACAGAGGCCACAAAGGGATCATGTCCTACCTTCCTCGTTTGGCTTCTGGGCCTCCTCAGAGCCTGAGTGTTCCTGTTGCTGCTGCTGCCTCGCTGTATGAATGGCCTGAAGTACATCCAGTCGCCGCTCCTCACCGAAAGCTGCAGAGCCCACCACTAGCTCCTCAGCCTCCGACAAGCAGCCCAGAGGCAGCAGCACCCGCTGCACGTGAAATTCTGCCAGGGCTCCATATTCTGGAAGGTCTTGGTTGGCTGGGTCTTGGAGCCAGGCACCCACCACATCCAGCACAGCTCTAGGCTCTTGCATTTTGCTGTATAAAAGAATGCTGCAGTCCCCAAAAAACCCGATCCCAACAAAATTAGAGTCAGTGCTCGATGATTGGTTCATTTCTCATGACCACTATGCTTCTCCTATCCAACCCCTCCTCACTGTGCCCTCCAGCCCTTTCCGATGCAATGTGGATGCTAATGGGAATTTGCCATGACACACCCATCACTAACAGCATACTCAATGGGAAGCTGAAAGCCTTGCCTCTAAGATCAGGAGCAAGACAAAGATGGCTACTTTGACCGTTTTTTATTCAACAGAGTACTGGAGGTAACAGCCAGAGCAATCAGGCAACAGAAAGAAATAAAAGGTATCCAAATCGGAAAGGAGGAAGTAAAATTATCCCTGTCTGCAGATAATAAGATCTTATATACGGAAAACCCTAAAGACTCCACCAAAAGAGAGAACTAATAAACGGACTCAGTAAAGTTGTGGGATACAAAAATCAATGTACAATAAAACAGCATTTATATACCACTGGAAAAGAGACCAAGAAAACAATTCCATTTACAACAGCTACCAAAAAAAAATACCTAGGAATAAATTAAACCAAGGTGGTAAAAGATCTCTACACTGAAGACTATAAAGCCTGATGAAAGAAGTTGAAGGGGACACAAAAAAATGGAACGATATCCTGTGTCCATTCACAAATTGGAAGAATATTATTAAAATACCCAAAGCCATCTACAGATTTAATGCAATCTCTATCAAAACACCAACGGCATTCTTCACAGAAATAGAAAAAACAATCCTGGCCAGGCGCGGTGGCTCACACCTGTAATCCCAGCACTTTGGGAGGCCGAGGCAGGCGGATCATGGGGTCAAGAGATCGAGACCATTGTGGCTAACACAGTGAAACCCCATCTCTACTAAAAATACAAAAAAATTAGCCAGGCGTGGTGACGGGCACCTGTAGTCCCAGCTACTTGGGAGGCTGAGGCAGGAGAAAGGTGTGAACCTGGGAGGCAGAACTTGCAGTGAACTGAGATCACGCCACTGCAGTCCAGCCTGAGCGACACAGCAAGACTCTGTCTCACAAAAAAAAAAAAAGAGAAAGAAACAAAAATCCTGAAATTCATATGGAACCACAAAAGACCCCAAATGGCTAAAGCAGTTGTGGGCAAAAAGAACAAAGCTGGAGGTATCATATTACCTGACTTCAAACTATACTACACAAAGCTATAATAGTAACCACAACAGAATGGTTCTGCTTTCATGGTATGGCATAAAAACAGACAAAATAGAACAGAACAGAGAGCCCAGAAATAAATTCATGCACCTACAGCCAAGTGATTTGCAACAAAGGTGCCAAGAACACACACAGGGGAAAAGACAGTCTCTTCAATAAATGGTGCTGGGAAAATCAGATATCCTTACGCAGGAGACCAGACCCCTACCTTTCCCCACACACCAAAATTAACTCAAAATGGATTCAAGACTGAAGTGTAAAATCCGAAACTATGAAACTGCTAGAAGAAAGCAAAGGAGAAATGCCTCACAACCCTGGCCTGAGCAAGGGTTTTTTTAAAGTAAGACCTTCAAAGCACTGGTAAGAAAAGCAAAAATGGACAAAAAACTAAAAACTTCTGCATAGCAAAGGAAGCAATTCAGAGTGAAGAAACAACCTACAGAATGGGAGAAAATATTTGCAAACTATCCATCTGACAAAGAGTTAATATCCAGAATATATCAGGAACTTAACAGCAGG